CCCACCATCCCTTAACACTTTCCCCCCTTTTCCCCGGCAGCTGGAGCTCCTGGGTGGGCGGTCGCTGCGTGAGGGGCTGGCGCGGGATGGGACAATGCGCTCCGAGGCTCCCGACTACCACCTGGATCTGGATGGGGAGCTGGATGCCAGGTAAGGGCTGCCACCACAATTCCACGTGGCCAGGGACACCATTTCCACATCGTTTTTCTCAAACCATTAAGGATTTTTTTTAGCATTAAGGGGCTTTTTTAGCAATTTGCCTTTTCCGAGCAACAAGCTGATGCTCTTCAACAGCATGAAGGTCAAGCCTCACCCTGACAGGGTTTTCATCCCTTGGTGGGGACAGGAAAGCTGCAGCCAGCCCCAAATCCCTGCAGGATCACAGCTGGGATGGGGATGCTGAACGGCTGTTTCCCTGTGCAGGTCTGAGGAGGAAGAGGATGAGGAGGAGAAGAGGAAGGATGTGAGCACACAGGACACTTCGCTACCCACCACCGACGGACCAGAGCCGGTCAGTTCTTGAGTTTAGCTTTTACCTTCCCTGACAGCCAAAACCGTCTCCCTGCATGTCCCACCGTTCCTGGCACCCCTTGTGACTGTGACCACATTGTGCTGATGGCTCCCTGTGTCCCCAACCCTCACCTTGTCCTTGCCTTGAGTTGAATAAACGCTAAATTACCCCAAAAAGGCCAGGTGGGCGGAGGGGTGCTGCAGGTCCCCTTTGCCCCAGCTCCTGGGGTGACATGGGGGGTGGCACCCGTGGGTGCACGTGCGTGTCTGGGATCGGTGCAGCAGTCAGAGCTGGAGTGTTTGCCCTGGAGCGGGCAGATCCCGGCTACTTCAAGGATCATCATCGCTCTATGGGGCACTGTCACCTTGTGGGGCATCATCACCCTGTGAGGCATCGCTCCAAGGAGCATCGTCATCCTGCGGGACATCATCACCCCTGGGGCATTGTCGTCCAGAGGGACATCATCACCCCACGGGACACCAGCACCCTGCGGGGCATCATCACCCCTGAGAGACACCATCACTGTATGGGGCATTGTCACCCCACGGAGCACTGTCACCCTCTGGATTATGTCACCTTGTGGGACATTGCCACCCTACAAGGCATCAGCACCATGTGGGGCATCGTTACCCCCACAGCATTGTCACCCTGCAAGGCATCGTCACCTCACAGGGCACTGCCCTCCTTGGGCATTGTCATCTCATGTGCCAGCCCCCTTGTGCCCGCTGCCAGCCTCTCTGCTCCTCCTGCCTGCTCTGCCTACGTGGGGATGTGATGGCTCTCTGGTGGCTTTGCCTGCTTGGGGGCAGAACACCCTTCTGCCTCTTCTGCCTGCTTGGGGACACGGGTGTCTGCTGGCTCCTGTCGGACCTGAACGTTCTCCCCTGCCTGGGGACAGGATCCTTGAGTACCTACATAGGGACTAGATCATTTGTGCCTGCTCAGGGCTCTTCTGGGCTCTTCGGGGACAGGGTGCTGCTCTGCCTGCTTGGGAACACAGCCACTTTCATCTGCTTGGGGACAGGAGCCCCCTCTGCCTACTGCCAGCCTGCTTAGGAACATGGGCATCTTCTGGATCCTTGGGGACAAGATCACTTTCCCCTGCCTGGGGGCAAGATCCTGGAGTACCTACATGGGAACAAGAGCGTTTCTGCCTGCCTGGGGACATGGGCATCTGCTGGGGACAGGGTCCTGCTCTGCCTGCTTGGGGACACAGTCACTTTCAGCTGCTTGGGGACAGGAGCCCCCTCTGCCTGTTCAGGGACACGAGCATCTGGCTCCATGGGGACGGGGTCCTGCTCTGCCTTCCTGGGAACTTGGGAATCTTCTGGCTCCATGAGTACAGGGGCCTCTCTGCCTGCTCAGGAACATGGATACTTTCACCTGGTTGGGAACAGGAGCCCCATCTGCATGGAGACACGGGCATCTCTGGCTCCTTGGGGACAGGATCACATCTGCCTGCCTGGGAACAGGGCCCCTGAGTACCTACTTGGGCCCAAGATCATTTCTGCCTGTTTGGGGTCACGGGCATCTCCTGGCTTCTTGAGGACAGGGACCCTGGCCGAGCCCCTCCTGTGGCACCCAGCTGGATGGGCGTCCCCTTTACTGGGGACCACGGCCCCTGACTGGACCTCCCGCTGTCCCCAAGGCCTTGGGCTGCTGGCAACAGCAGGGTGGCTCCCAGGACTGCTCACCTGGCTTGGCTCAACCTCATCACCCCACATCTGGGGCACCACTGGCACTGAGATCTGGGGGTCCCGGGGCTGGACCATGTCCCAGCTGCTCACTGGGATCCTTCCAGTAGCCACCAGTTCCCATGTACTGGAGCTGGGGTGGCTTCACTGGCACTGTGCTGAGGGTCCCTGCTGCTTGCTGCGGTCTTCCCAGCAGCCACCAGTTCCCACATGCTGGAGCTGATGAGGTCACTGTCACCGAGATCTGGGGGTCCCAGGGTTGGACCATGTCCCAACCACGCACTGGGGTCCTGCCAGTAGCCACCAGTTCCTGAATATTTGAGCTAGTGGGATCACTGACACTGTACTGGGGGTCCCAGGGGTGTACCTTGTCTGAGATGGCTCACTGGCATCTTCCCAGTAACCACCAGTTTCCAGATATCAGAGCTGGTGGGGTCATTGGCACCTCAACGAGGGTCTCAGCCATCACTGGAGTTCTCCCAGTAGGCACCAGTTTCCACATATTGGAACTGGTGGGGTCACTGTCACCTCAATGAGGGTCCCAGCCATCACTGGAGTCCTCCCAGTAGCCACCAGTTCCTGAATATTCGAGCTGATGGGGTCATTGACACTGTACTGGGGGTCCCAGGGCTGGACCGTGTCTGAGATGCTCACTGGCGTCTTCCCAGTAACCACCAGTTTCCACATACTGGAACTGGTGGGGCCATTGGCACCTCAATGAGGGTCTCAGCCATCACTGGAGTTCTCCCAGTAGGCACCAGTTTCCACATATTGGAACTGGTGGGGTCATTGGCACCTCAATGAGGGTCCCAGCCATCACTGGGGTCTTCCCAGTAGCCACCAGTTCCTGAATATTCGAGCTGATGGGGTCACTGACACTGTACTGAGGGTCTCAGGGCTGGACTGTGTCTGAGATGCTCACTGGCATCCTCCCAGTAACCACCAGTTTCCAGATATCAGAGCTGGTGGGGTCATCGGCACCTCAATGAGGGTCCCAGCCATCCACTGGAGTCCTCCCAGTAGCCACCAGTTCCCGCATACCAGAGCTGGTGGGGTCACTGGCACTGAGACCTGGGGGTGACCCACCCCCAGGCCGGAGCTTATCGACCAGCTCGAGGACTGTGACCCTCTGGTGACAGTGACCCACGTACCCAGTGCCACCACGGGAGGGGACAACCCCTCCCCGCGCATCCTTGGGTGGCGGTGGGTGACGCCGCGGCGTAACCGCGCTGTTGCTTTGCGACAGCAGGCGCCGAGGACGGGAGACGAGGAGCCGGTGTCACCAACCCTGCGGCCACCACGGGAGGAGCCGGAGGAGCCGGCCACGCTGCCAGCCCGCGTCAGCAGCGTCCAGCTGGAGGGCTACCTCGGCCGCAAGCACGACCTGGAGGCGGCCACCAAGCGCGCGTCCAACCGGTAGGCAGGACGGTGACAGCGGCAGCGGCGGGGCCCGCGGTGTCCCCGGGCGGGATGGTGACACCAGGGTGACCCGGTGCTGGCACAGGTCGTGGAGCACGCGGTACTGTGTCCTGCGGGGTGGCCAGCTCGCCTTCTTCAAGGACGCCAAGAGCCGCGCGCTGGGGCTGCCGTGCCAGGGCGAGGAGCCCCTGGGGCTGCGCGACGCCCGCTGCGAGGTCCCCGCCGGCTACAAGAAGAAGAAACACGTCTTCAAGCTCAGGTGAGGGCACGGCGTGGCGCGGGGGGCACGGTGGGCACGCGTGGCACTGGTGTATGTCCTCTGTCCCCAGGCTCAGCAACGGCAGCGAGTGGCTGTTCCATGGCAAGGATGAGGTGAGGGGTGGCCTGGGAGGGGACACGGGGTGGCTGGGGGACATAGTGGTGACCAGCAGTGACTGGGGGGACACAGGGTGGCCAGTGATGCCCAGGGGACACAGGGGTAGTAGCCAGAGAGGTCCAGAGGGACACAGGGTGGCTGCCTGTTCCCAGGGGACACAGTGGGACACCACTGCTGCCCAGGGGACATGGTGGTGGCCAGCAGTGACCAGGGGGACGTGGGGTGGCTGGTGGTGCCCAGGGGGACACAGGTGGATAGTAGCAGTGCCCATGGGACACAGGGGTGGCCATGGGGACACTGGGGGGCCAGTGGTGGGCAGCGGACACAGGGGTGGCAAGAGGTGCCATAAGGACACAATGAGGGGCTGGCAGTGCCCCAGGGGAATGTGGGCAGCTGGGGAAGACGTGGGGCAACCGGCATCACCTTGGGGGACATGGGGGTGGCCGGGAAGGTGCTGGGGGGACAGGGGAGTCCCTCCTGATCTCCCCCCATGTGCCCGCAGGAGGAGCTGCAGGCCTGGCTGCAGGGGCTGAGCGCGGCCATCACCGAGTGTCGGGGCAGCTGGGGGAAGACGCAGAGCCTCCCCCTGTCCCTGCCCCCGGCACCGCCCGAACCCCCCCTGCCCCGCAAGGACAAGGAGAAACGCTTCAGCTTCTTCCCAAAAAAGAAATAACCCCCCTGGATGGCGGGCGGGGGGGGGGACACCCCACGTCACGCCAGCGGGTCCACGCGTGTGTAAGGACACGCGTGTGCGGTACCTGTACAGGTGCCACCGGGTCTAGAAGGCACGTGGGGGGGGGGGTCACACACGTGGGCGGGAGCCCCCCCCGCGAGCGCACATGTCCGTGTGTACACAGGTGTATATATATATATATATATATATATATTTGTATTTATATATATACATACATTTACACGTTTCAGGCACACGCCTGTGCGGAGGCGAGCGCAGGTGCCCCCCCCAGGCGCGTGCCCCTCGTGCCCACGCGTGTCCCTGCACGCACACGTCTGCACACGTGTGTCCCCGCATGCAGGTGCACCCCCGGCCCCCCCCCCTCCGCACGCACGGCACGGGTGTGCATGGACCCCCACCCAGCACCCACACGGGGGGGTGCGCGGGTGCCCCCCAAAGCCATAACCCCCCCCGCAGCACGTGGGTGCAGAGGGGGGACCCCCCCGGCCCCCGCGGGCACCAACCAAAGAGCGTCGGCCCATGGGGGCCCCTCTCCAGCACCCCCCGCCCCGTGCCCCCCCCAGCCGGGGTGGGGGGACCCCCCTGTGCACCCCGCGGCCGGGCCAAGACACCTCGGGGGGGGCGGGCGACCAGAGAGGAACTTTGGGTTCAGTTTGGGTTTTTTTTTCTAATAAAGATATGAAAGCGAGCGGGGTACAGTGCTGGGCGCTGGGGGGGGCAGCCTGGGGGGCACTGAGGGTACATGGGGGGCCCCTGGTCCTGGGCATGGGGGGAGGTTCATGGGCTGCCCCTTTTTCCAGGTAGGTTGGGGGTCCCCAGGGTGCTCCTTCTGCCAGGTGGACTGGGGGGGTCCACGGGGTGCCCCTTCTTCCAGGTAGGTTGGGGGTCCATGGGATACTCCTTCTCCTGGACAAGTTCGCTGTCCATGGGGTGCCCCTTCTTCCAGGTACGTTGGGTGTCCATGGGATACTCTTTCTCCTGGATGCGTTCGCCGTCCATGAGGTGCTCCTTCTTCCAGGAGGGCTGGGGGTATCCACGGGGTGCCCCTTCTTCCAGGAGGGCTGGGGGTATCCACGGGGTGCCCCTTCTTCCAGGAGGGCTGGGGGTATCCACAGGGTGCCCCTTCTCCTGGGCAAATTGGGGGTCCCCAGGGTGCTCCTTCTCCCAAACAACCTGGGGGGCCATGGGGTGCCCTTTCTTCCAGGTAAGCTGGAGGTCCATGAGGTGCTCCTTCCCCTGAGGGTCCATGGGGTGCTCCTTCCCCCGGGGGTCCACAGAACGCCCCTTCTCCCCGTCCCCCCTCCTAGCTGGCAGCGTCGAGGCTCTGAAACTTCTGCCGGAGGTCCCTGACGAGGCCGTGGCGGGGGGGCTCGGGGGTGTCGGGGGGCTCTGGGCAGCGCCGCCGGTACTCCTCGGAAGCCTGGTAGGCTTTGCAGCGCTCCACCACCGCCTTCAGGCAGATCTTCTCGCGGGTGGTGGGCGAGCGGATCTGCACGTACGTGGGGGGTTCCGGCAGCCGCTCCAGCACCAGCACCCGCTGCCCGGGGCCCAGGGGGGCTTCTGCCGCCACCCACAGCGCCCCGTCGCTGCTGTGCCTCGCCGGCGCCGGGCTCGGGCTGTCGGACCCCGCGTTGGCCTCGGCGCTCCGGCTCCGGCCGCCGCCGCGCTCCTTCCCGGCGGGGCGCCCGCCCCGAACGGGACCCTCGGGCGCCGAGCGGCTGCGGCTCACGGGCGGGGGCCGGGGGGCGCCGAAACGGGCGCGGAGCTCCCGCACGTCGGGCCAGGCGAAGGGCTCGGCACCCAGGGGGCTCGAGGGGCTGCGGGGGACACACGGGGACGGGGGCACCGCCAGCCCTCCTCCGTCCCGCGGCGCAGCCGGCGAGGGGGTGCTGGGAGGGGGGTCCCCGTCCTCCCGCGGCAGCGGGGGCCGGCGGGCGCCGGCGCGGTGGCTCTTGATGCGGAGGCTGTACTGCCGTGCCAGCTGGTACACCTTGGTGCCCAGGTGAGGGGGGGTCAGCAGCAGCTGGGGGGGAGGCCCCGGGGGTGACCCCCCGGCGCCCAAATCATCCTCCTCCAGGATGAGCAGCGGTTCAGGGGGCTGCACCCCGTTCTCCTGGCACGGCTCCGGCGCCTCAGGCTGCGCGGGGGGCTCGGGGCTCCCGGGGGGCCGCGGGAGCCCGTTGAGGCGGGACACGGAGCTGCGCACCAGGCCCTTGGGGATGAAGGAGAGGCTCTCGCGGCGGCGCACCCCGAAACCGGCGTCGCGGTGCTCGGCGTGGCCGTAGTAGCTCTTGATCTTGTCGAGGAGCAGGCGGTCCCGGTTGGAGAGCAGCGATTCCCGGCGGGCTTTGGCGAAGGGCTCGGGCGAGGGAATGGTGCTGCAGGAGCCCCCGGGCTCCCCGGATTCGAGCGGGGGGCCCCCGTCCAGGCTGAGGGTGCTGCCGCCGTGGCTGGGGGCGCGTCCCAGCGGCCCCTCCAGCGCCAGGCTGCTCCGCCGGGACAGGCTGCTGCCGCCGCCGAACCGCTCGGCGATGACGCTGGCCTGGTCCAGCACCGAGGGCGGCAGGATGCTGGCAGCTCCTTCCTCCTCCTCTTCCTCCTCCTCCTCCTCCTCGCTGCTCAGCACCTGCAAATCCTCCGCAGGGCGCTCTGGCTCCCTGTCCCCGCTGGGCAGTGCCGGGGGCCCCGCCGGGGACGGGGATTTGGGTGCCTCTGGCACCTCACGGTGCTCCCCGGCGCTGCCAGTGGGTGAGTGGGTGCTGGGTCCCTGGGGACCCCCAGGTGGGGGCTGCAGGGCTGCACTGACCTTCTCACAGCTCCCCGGCCCCCAGCTGCTCGGCCGTTTGGGTCCCTCCAGCACCCGTGAGTGTCCCCCGGCCTGGGCGAGAGCAAAGGTGGGGTGTCATGAGCTGGGGGGGCACCGGGTGCACCGAGCAGGGGTAGTCCCAGCCAAACCATGGCTGGGGACCCTGCAGTGGCCTCAGGAGCAACACGGGGTGCCCTGGTACTGATGTGGGGTACCCCAGGAGTGGTGTAGGATGCTCTGGGAGTGATGTGGGGTACCCTAGAAGAGATGTGGGATGC